CCAAATGAAACTAAAGGATAAGTATCTAGGTAACCCTTTGTTTGTGGCTCGAAGATTTGTTGGAGATTGGAACCAAATTATCAAAAAGGTGAAAGACAAACTTGTCGCTTGGAAGGGTAGGCTCCTATCTCAAGCTGGTAGATTGGTGCTCATCAAGTCCACACTTAAAAGCAACCCAACTTATACAATGCAAACTCACCTTTTTCCAAAGACAATAACGGATAAGCTGAATACCCTAAGCCAAAACTTTTGGTGGGGAGACGTGGAGAACCATAGGAAGATTCACCTTTGCAACTGGAAATTCATGCATAGATCCAAGAATAAAGGGGGTTTGGGCTTTAAAAGTACCTACTATAGAAACTTCGCTGTAATAATGAAACTGGGATGGCGTTTTTTTACTATGGCAGATTCATTATGGGTTACTATTCTACGATAGAAATACTTACAAAATAGTTCTTTTTGGGAAGTGAAGGCGTCCAACAATGCTTCATCAATCTGGAGTGGTATCTTAAAGTACAGATAGTTCTTAAGACTAGTGTGCAGATGGTCAATCGGTAATGGGTGGGACATGCAAGTAACTACAGACCCTTGGTTACCTAATGGCTTAGTACCAAGACTTAAGCAAGAAACAAGTGCATGCCCTTTCAAAGTTGCTGATTAATTGACTAGAACTCAATGACTTGGAGAGTCGAGAGAGTTGAACGTCTTTTTGATGATACATCATGTGAAGCCATTTTGTTTATACCACTCCCTCCACCTGGAAACGTGTTAAATGATAAGGTTGTGTGGCATGTGATACTTTTAGGCAAGTTTTCCACTTCATCAACTTACATGCTTATAAGCAATTTGGACCCATCATCCTCACAAGATGGAGTCATTGCGGGAAACTTCACATGACAGCAGTTTTGGTCTTTCACCACTATCTCGTAAAGAGTGTTACTCTTTGCTTGGAGATGTGTTCACAATCTATTACCAGTTCAAGCTTCCCTTCAAAAGCATGTGCCAAATATTGATGTGAACTGCATGTGTCACAGAGTGAGGGAAATGGGGGACCATTTATTTTTTGAGTGTCTAGTCACTTTTACAGTCTGGTTTGACTGTTCTCTATCACTCAGAGTGGAGGCCCAGGCACAGTTCACAATAAAGAATTGGTTTCTTCTTTGGTGGAGGGGGGATGATGAAATTGAGAAGCAAACCCACCACACCTTTGCTCTACCCTTGCTAGTCATATGGCATATTTGGAGGGCTAGAAATCAGGTTGTTTTTGAAAACAAGCCATTTGACCCTACCTCTATCATTACTAATGCCCACCGAGATCTGGAAATGGCAGTGAAGAACAAAAAAACAATATGGCACCACAAACTTCACCTCCAGAAGTAAGTGAAATGCCCAGATGGCAAAAACCCCCTTTGGGTTTTCTCAAAATTCAGCGTCGATGGTATTGTGACCCAAAATTGGTTTGGAGTAGGAATTATTGTCAGAGATGACCATGGTCATTACATTTGTACTAGAGCTGCCCCCTATCTCTTTTTCCAGCCCCAAAAGCGGAGGCCCAAACTATCCTTGAAGGGTTAAGATTGGCCTTATCTTGGAATTTTTCTGATACAGTTATTGAGAGTGAGTTCATTATCAACCTCTTGTTGGTGGAAAATTCTGAACCACCATGGTGACTCAGATTGGTGATTGTAGAGAGCAAGAGGCTTATTCATCAACTACAAAATTGTGTCATTAGTTACAAACCAAGGAATTGTAACAAAGTGGCTCATCGTTTGGCCAAATTTGCTCTTTCCTTTACTCGGAGAATTTCTTGGTCTTTCCCCCTTCCTTCTTCTTTGATCTCTTGGGGAGTGATTGTTACTTGAGTTGATTAATGCTAAGCCTATGGGCTTCAAAAAAAAAGTAGGCATGAAGAATTTGCTTGGAATTGCATGGGGAGTCCCTTGGCAATATTTTATTTTTTTCCTTCTAAGGTGAGAAGTATTGAGTTAAATCTCAATGACTCATTAGAAGTTTTTTAATTTGCAACATTGATGCAGATGGCATAGTAGCAGATGAAGTGGTGGATTATGGTTGGGACGATGTGATGGTGAAGGAGATTCTTAAGGGTATCAATTGGATCAGATTTGGCCTAATCTAATTTTGTCCAATATGAGTCCATTATAGATGGACCAGGTCCAGTCCAATCTGATGAATACTCTTGGCCATTTTTGATCAGCCTGATTCAATGTTTGGACCATCCAATCTGTTCTAATTGGTTTTAATTTAGATTGGTTCCAACTCAAACCTGGTCTATTGACACCCATATTCTTATCTTCTATTAATGGACTAGATATTGGCTCAATCAGATTAATCCAATATATAAATCCATTATGGATGGGTTAAATACAATCCAATCCAATAAATGCTTTTGACCAATAAGTCTGGACTGGTCCAATTCAATATGTTTCATTAGTTTGTCCAATCTGTTCAAATTGATTTTGATTTGAAGGAGGTCCAACCCAAAACTGGTCCTTTGACACCCCTATATCCAGTTGATTGATTTCTGTTCTTGTGGGAGACTTTTTATTGTATGCATGTCCCTCATTTTTTTTTGTGTTCTTAAGTCTTTGACGCTATGTGCATAGGGTTCATGAATTTACTCTCTTAGTGCTCAATGGTTTCCTTTAACTTTTTTTTTTTTTCTACCGCTTGGCTACGGGTTTTCTTATCACTTTGTATTGACTTTTTTTGTAGCTTATGCTAAACATTTCAGTATGAAATGAATTTTGCCTTATTAGGCTAAAAACATACTTTAGATTGTCTACTTAGAATTTTTGACTTTGTCAAATTTACCTTAAATACATGTATTGGTACTATTGTAACCAACACTATTAACTGGTTTTTTTTTTTTTTTTTTCTAAAACAATAACCAATTGCTATGTCTAGATTGGTTAGAGACAAAATCATGCATAGTGGGTTAGGCAACCTAATCAACACTATTCATTGTTTCAAGCTATTTTAGGGGGTGTTGAGAATATAAGCGATTTTGTTTTTCTAAAACAAAAACCAATTGCTACGTCCAGATTGGTTGCAGACAAAATTATACATAATGGGCTAGGCAACTTATCATGAGTAAACACGCCAATGTTCCCCTACAAATATGGTGTGGATCCCACATGGGCCCCATGCATACAAAACAATAGTATGTTTACTTGTGATAGGTTGCCCAACTTGGTGTTCATGATTTTGCCTCCAATCCATCTAGTCCACCAATTATTGCATCAACAAAAATGTATTTTTTTTGCTGATATGGGAATTGCTTCATTTTAAAAAACAACACAAGTCACATTGTAGAACACCCTTGATCATGTCTTGGAAGCTCCCAAGTGACTTAAATCAACCCGATCATCGAACTAATTAGCCTAACTTGCCCACACACAAAGCACAAATAGATAAGGACTGATTCGCGAACACGACATCTTTCCAATATATAGGTACGGTATCTTCAGGAAAGGTACACAAGCACATTATAACCTTTTTACCTCATGCTTTTTCTGATGCTTTTCTTACTGATTAGCCTCCATTACTTGGTCTAATGATCTACTTCCTACTTATTGACTTAATGGTTGGAGAACATTATAACCCTTTCTACTCTCTTAGTAGGCCATGTTTGGGAGTGCTTTTGTTAAAAATAAGTGTTTATTCAAATAAGCGCTTGCATTTGGCAACCAACTTTTTCGAGAAAACAACCACTTATTTCATATTAGACGTTTAGTAGTCTTTTTCTCCAATAAGCATTTGTGACTATTTGTTCTTCATTTTCTTTAAATTTTACGAAAACACTTTACAAAGTACTTTTATGAAAACACTTTAATAAAATCATTTTTATGAAAGTACTTTAATTATAATATTTTCATTAAAATACTTTTACGAAAGCATTTTTATAAAATTCAAATAGGGATAGTTTTATAAATGGTATTTTAAAATTCAACTAGGGATAGTTTTATAAATGGTATTTTAAAATTCAACGAGGAATAATTTTGGAAGAAAAAAAATTGAATAAGTCCTTACTGTATAAGTACTTAAAAAAAGCTGAAAATTTGGGCTTAAAAAATAAGAGCTTATTTTTAAAATAAGCACTTATTTTGGACTTATTTTCCAAACACCAATAAGTGCTTAATGGTGAGATCCCACCCCAAATAAACACTTATTTTTAAGCACTCCCAAATATAGTCTAAAATAGCTTTGAAAAAAATAATATGAAACTATTTGCTATTTCCATTTTTTTTTCAAATTAATCTAACAAATAATTCTATGTTTCCATTATGTGTTACGACCTAGAGGCAAGTACGTTTTTTTTTGTGGCAAAATATAATGGGTATACTTCAGTGGTAGGGGAATGAAAATTACATTTCCTAGTTACTTAAGCCATCAAGATGAAAGCACTGTAACAAGTAGGGCATACATTTGGTGATTTTGAGAAAGTAGCACGAACCATACATTGGACCATTTTATTCACCAAAATATCACAATGTATATATGTGTCTCTTTTCGGTACCGTGCATTGACAGAAAAACGCGGGAAAGGTAACGGTTGACAAGTTTTCAAAAAGGATTTTCTCTCGATTTGGATACCATGCGTTTAAACTCGCGAATAATTCCCAGCGAGTCCACACCGTCTTACTCCGCGTCGAGAATTGGTTTCCGTTGCGTAACCAATCAACCAGCAGGAGCACAGCCTTGTGCCACAATTAACGTGAAGTAGGGAATAAAGGGAACGTAAGGGTTTTTCTTTCTTTTCTTTTTTTTTTTTTAAATTAAAAAACAGTTTTTTTTTTTTTTTTTTTTCTGGAAAAAGGAAAATCCACGTTTTGTCTTTTTTGGATTTTCTCTTTTACAGTTTTACCTTTTCTCCTGCTCACCCCCTTCCTCTCTTTTCCTCTTCCTCACGTAACCTGCCATCGCCGTTCGTCGTTCACCGATCACCGGTCGCCGGTGGCCGTTTGCTGATCGCCGGTCACCATTTGCCATTTTTTATTAATTAAACAATAAAAACTTTGTTTGGATAAGGGGAAACACACGTTTTTCCCTTATTCTTTGTTCTCCCTCTCACCCCTTCCTCTCTTGCCCTTTTTCTGATGCAGGGACTTGCAATCGCCTTCTCCAGTCTTCCTTCCTCGTTTTTTGTCGCCGTTCACAAGTCGCTGGTAGGGGTGTCAATGGACCGGCGGTAGTCCGTTTTTCTCCGGCGATATTCTCCTAACACCGGTGGTAGTCTCGATGGTATTTCCCTCTCTCCGGCGATCTATCACTGTTTATTTTCTCTCGCTCTCTCACTCTCTCCAGCGACAACACTCCCCCTTCAATCAGGCAATCATATTTTGGTCATTCTTTCTCTTGCATCTCTTTCTTTCAAGCGATAGGCTCCTCTGACCTCTGCGATTTGTTCATTCAGGTATTGCATCTATACTCTGCCATTAGAAATGAAAAACGGTGAATACTTTGATAGTTTTTAAATAATAAGATTGTTTAAATAATAAGCTAGATGTAAATAATTTTCGTGGGTTGATACTTGGATATTGCAGTTGCTTTCTATTATATTTTTTGATAATTGGTTTTCTATTATATTTGGAATGCTAAAAATGATATGATATTTAATAATATTAGAAGATCGCTTAATGGATTTTATTTCATATATCAGATATCATTGAAAACCAATTATTAAATAACTAAATGTTAATAGTCTGAAAAATTCTGATTCAATCTCTTATGCAATTTCAAAATGATTTGAGCCATCATGACTCAAGTGCTTTTTAATCTATGCTATCGGAAAGACCTGATACCGAAAGGGTTTTGACCAATCAAACCTTCCCGTGAATTTTGATGATTATCATCTAATTGGATACCAGTTTTATGATACTGGTTGATTGGTGATTTGGTTTCAGGTTTTTCTGGTATCATAGTTGAACCCTTTTTTCTTGTTCTTAAATTTAGTATTCACTTGCATTTTCTTTTTAGTTTTGTACTAGAAGAGACATATTCAACGCACAGGCTGAAAATAGTGAAGGGATTTATAACTGTATCTTTGTAAATGGAGGTGTCAATGGACCGGGTTTGTTTGGACCCTATCTGAATCAAAACTAGTTTGGACAGGTTGGACAGTCCAACAAGACAATGTTGAATTGGACTAGTCCAAGCCTAATTGACTTGGTCCATTTGTAATGGACTCATATTGAACTGGATCAAATTGGACCAATATCCAAGCCATTGACAGCCCTGTTTGTAAACAATTTCATTAGATTTTATTGTGTTTCATGTTAGTGTGAAAATTGATTTATTTTCTTTCTTAATGCATTAAGGATGGATGAACCTAGTGCTGGAAATGCAGATGATCTTGAAAACCCTTGTGAGTCATCTATGGCATCTAGCTCTACTAGAAAGAGGGTTAGGTCTAAAGCATGAGAGCATTTTAAGAAAATTGGATTTTGGTGAGTAGAGAGCTATTTGTAAACATTGYGGAAAACAATATATAGGAGGAAGTTTTAAAGGAACGAGCCACCTATTAGGGCATGTACCAAAATGTCCTAAATTAAAAGAAAAGGGCACTAGTGAACAAGAAGTTATGGAAAACTTTAAATTTGACCAAGATAGGAGCCGAATGGACTTAGCAAAGATGATAATGAAGCATAGACATCATTTTAGTATAATTGAACAAGAGTTTTTTTTTCAGATATTTTTCAATAATCTTCAACCATCATTTAGATTTGTTTCTAGAAATACAATAAAGAATGATGTCATGAATATGTACCTGGATGAAAATGAGAAGTTATACAAATACTTTGATGGTTTGGATTATCGGATTAGCTTAACCACCAATATGTGGACTTTGGAACAAAATTTGAGGTATTGTTGTGTAACAAAATTATTGCATTTGTGGCAATTGAGTGCCCCCATGATGGAAATACTTTGTATGAAGTTGTTATGGAGAGGTTGTTGACCTGGAACATTGATAAAAAAATATGTTATATAACAGACAATGATGTTATGGTTAGGGAGCTCAGGAATTGGCTTTGTGTTAAGGGTTTGCTCCCATTGAATGGTGACCTATTTCATGTGAGGTGTGCTGCTCACATCTAGAATCTTATTGTGCAAGATGGGTTGAGAGAAATATCACCATTGTTGCATAAGATTCGAGAAAGTGCTAAATATGTAAGGTTGACACCCCATAAAATTCGAGAAAGTGCTAAATATCACCATTGCTGCTTAATGCTCCCTAAAGTCTCTGTACTTCTTGTATACTTATTTGCTTTTTATAAGTCCTTTTCTTACTAAAAAGTATTGGGCCTCTTGATTTTAGAATCATTTATCCTATTAAAAACCTTCAAAATAATCCTAGTTCCATCATGATCATCACATGATACATAGTCTTTTATCCTTATTTTTGAGACCTGTGATGGTAAAACTGAAAAAAGCTATATTTGTGATGGTAAAACTGAAAAGAGCTATCTGATCATGATCATCACATCCAACTATATGGTTTCTCAGCCATAGAACATATATTTGTCATAAGACTGCAATGGTGAGAGCTATCTGATTTTTATCAGTACTGTTCAGTGTTAGATGATGTTTGGAACTCATCTGATTTGATTCTTGAGGGCTGTAATTCAATGGCAAAGTAACAAGTCATATTAGGTTAAGGTGGCATTAATTCCTATTTGGACATTGTATACATTCATCTTTCAACTTCTAGTTATAGTCTGGCAGTTCTAAAAGTTTCAACCGATGAATAATTTTTATAGTTATTCCCTCGATAACTTCTTCCTGGGATTTTTCAATGTCTTTGAATATCCTATTGTTCCTTTCTTCCCATATTGACCAAAGGACAGATGCCCTTGTATCTCTCCACATTATTTTACCCCTCTTCTTCGATTGCCTAAAGAAACTTGGATCAATAAGGTCCACCACATCCAGGGGAGGGTCCCACCTGCAGCCAAAAAGAGAAGAGAACCAATTCCAAATATAAGATACAAAGGGACAAGATATCAGTAAGTGGGTGAGTGTCTCACCACATCCCAAGCAAAGGCTACAAACATGAGGAAAGATGCACCAATTTGGTCTTCTTCTTTGGAGTACATCCAAGGTGTTGATTTTTTAGAGTATCACCTCCCAACAAAAAGCCCTAACTTTTGGAGGCATAGGGCTACACCAAACCTCCTTTGTTGGAAACATTCCTGTCAAGTTAGAGGATTGAAGAAGAGTATTGTGAAAGGAGGAGCAAGTGAATACACCAGAAGGGGAAGGTGACTAGATTCTACTATCTGAACCAGAGTGCTCCAGGAATACTGAGCTTAGAAGAGAGATGAGTTCATCTACCATTTCCGTTTCAGATTCCCTTAAACCTCTTCTCAACCCCAAGTCCCAAGAACTATCAAGGTTAAAGATAGAAGAAATCACTTTTTCTTTATTGACAGAAAGGGAGTAAAGTGAAGGGAATCTATCCTTGAGAGAGGATTCGCCAACCCACAAATCTTCCCAAAACTGGACTTTATTACCTATACAGGCCTCATATTTGAGGTGCGGAAGGAGAGAAGGTAAAATGCTGTAGATAGCTTTCCAAGGTGAGGACCAAGTTGCCCTAGGGTCAAGACCAGCATCCCACCCATTACTTGCCAATCCATGGATACTTACAATTACTCTGTGCTATAGTCTATCATGCTCCGAAGGCAGCCTCCACAACCATTTCCCCAACAATACTAAATTCCTAACTCTAATGTTGCCAATATCTCTTTCAAAAAAAAGTTTCCAATACCTAGTTCCCCATAATCCTTACTCCTGGACACTACCTCCCACCTTGCCAGGTGATCTTTTTTTGTATTTCCCAATTCCCAAAGAAAGTCCCTCTAATCTTTTCTAGTTGGTTGGCCACTTTAACAGGAATTTTGAAGGTTGAGAGGTAATACACCGACAAGTTGGCAAGTGTACTAGAAGCTCTTAGAGTTTGGGTTCCCTCCCAGAGGTTAGTCTAAATATTGTAGCCCCTACCTCACAACCTAACAGACTAGAAAGTTTTCTACTTCCTCAACTCTTGCCCCAATTGACTCTGAGGTTCAAAATTCTCTCAAACTGTGTCACTAGTCTCTTCAAGTTTACTAGTTCCTCCCTTTCCCCTTGACAAAACAGGATTAATCTTGTCTTCCACTTCAGCTTTAGAGACCATCTCTCCCAATAGGTCACCTACTAGGGTGGAAAGGAAAGGAGAAAGAGGGTCTCCCTACCTAAGGCCTCTCTTAGCCGGAAAGAAGCCTCGGGCTACATCATTCACCAATATAGAATAATGGCAGGAGGAAATACAACCTTTTATCCATCTGCACCATCTTTCACCAAATCCTCTATGGTTTAAAATCTCTAAGAGTAGGCTCATCCTTTTAGATTATTATCTTGTTCTAAACCATTGGACAAATCTGAGAAACTATGGTTAATAGACGAAATAATCATGATCCCCTTTGCAGCATTATAATCTGTTGAGAGTAGAAGCCAGATGCTGCCTCTTGTTTTTCCTTTTTTTATTTTTTTTAGGTTCTATCTACCCATGCTGCTTAAAGTACTTGATATTGATTCTTCTTGATGGCAGGAACATTGAAGTAGGCTCCCAGTCAAACATGGAATCTGATACAGGAGAGGGGTCATTTTCCACTCATGCAGAACTGCATGATTCCCACAGCGAATCCAAATTGGAATTGTTTGGTTTTGATTCTCTTGTCAATATTCTTGGTCTTAAGAGGTAGTGATTCATTTTCATTTCTTGTTTATATTCCACAATTATGTGACTCAAAATGTTTGTTTGCCATTGAGCAGATTTTTGGATATGTTTTTTTTTTGACAAGTAACAGATTAATTTCATTAATGAAAATCTCCTAGCTGTCCCATAATTAAGGCAGTAGGCCTGAGTATATACAATGCCAGCTTATAAAAGATAAACCAATATTACAAACCAATGTTTAAAGAACTGATCCGGAGGCTGAACCATTTTCCCTCTGGGTTGCGGTTCATTGGTTAAATTGCTTGGGTCGAATAGTCAACCTGTGACACATCATCATATATATAATATGTAAAATGTAATCAGCATAATTATATGATATATACATAATAACGTTAATTATACACATATATTCAAAGTATATAATTATATTTTTCATATAACATATACTAAAAATTAAGATTTATGGCCAAAAAGGCGTTTTTTGGCAAAAATAATGGGCCAACACAAAGATCATGAAAAGTTACCCAAAATAAAAAATCTAATTGGACAACCGAGCGCAAAGTTGTGGCCTTCAAAAATTAAAAAAAGATGAACGAAAACCGACCAGTTTTATGAAACCAGGACCAGTTCACTGGGTCCCCTGTTGGAACAGCTGGTTGGCTGGTTTTCACCGGTTTTTAGAGCCTGACTGAACCGGCCAGTGAACCAGTTCATGGTTTTACTTGTTGGACCATCTGGTGGTATGGTTCTATGAACATTGTTACAAACTGATGCCCAGTCCCGGCAAACCCATTCCATGTGATCTCCTGCAGCACCTGTCTTTGCTAATGAACCAGTCATACATTTATACTTCTAGGTACATATTCGAATTGGCTGTCGAAATTAGCACCTAGGTTTGATTTTTTGATATGTTACTCACAGGAGGTATGTTTCAATTCATGCTTACTGTCTTAATTGGATATGTTAATCAGTATGGCAGGAGAACAAATTGCAGCACCCTCTAGTCCTATAGATGGGGGAAATGGGGAGGATGTTTCTATAACTCTTGGACAACCAAAGGTACATCTGTCCTCTTTGGCCTGTTAATATGACTCACCATAGATTTGTCTCTTAATGTGCTAACTACCTGGTAGAAAATGATTGCAAGAAACCATTGACATTTATATCACTTCCCATCCTTTTATATTACTTTTTATCATCCAAATGGGCTGTTTGTTGTTATATTCAATAGATCTTTCTTAAGCCATCAAATAAGCATGCTTTCTGACATTTTCTTCACTAATTGGTTAACTGCTGATTGTTGCTACTGTATGGTCTTGTAAATGTTTGATTAAGGCACCACACTGAAGCCGAACAAATAAAGGAATTGGGTTATATAATTAAATTAGAAACTGATAAAGCACCAGTTTTCTAAATACCAGCTTTAAAACTGTACCTTGATTAGGTAATCCTAATGACTAAATTGTCTCAACCTAGACAAGGGGAAAAAAGGTTAACACTATTGCTACTTTATGCCTTGTTCATTTTTTTTTGATAGACAACAGGAATTTAATTAGAAAAGCCAAACTATTGGGATGTGTCTTGTTCATTGCCACTCTTTCTCATTCAGGTATGGATGATGAGTGTACTTTGCAAGAGCAATTCTCCTTCCCCAATTGGTCCTGAGTATAAAGCTACCACTTTCTCAATTTCATCCCTGAAAATTCCTATTCTAGAAACACCTGAGTTGCCCAAACAGCTCCTGTCAAAATTTAATTTGATAAAACCTCTCTCTGGAGGGGTCCAGCTAGCTGAAGTGAGTGTTTTAACAGGAGCTGAATCAGCCACCTCCTTCCAATTGAGCATGATGTCATCTACTAAGAATAAGGAAAAGAGATCCATGGTCTTCACCCAATGAGCCACCTTGATCATGATGTTATCAATAATATCAGTTTTGCTTCTTTCTTTCTCTGAAAATATTCCAAGTCCCCTGATGGCAATAAAATAAAGCTGAACTTTGATGGGAGCTCTTTAGGAAACCTGGGACCGGCAGGCATAGGGGGTGTATTTAGAGATTGTTCATGGAAAATATTGACAATGCACTCGGGTCCTCTAGGGGGAGGAGATTCAGTAAAGGCTGAGCTGCTAGCGCTGTTACAAGGTCTAAAACTTGCTAAACAGAAGATGGGGGCTTACACTTGCACCCAAACAAAGAGACAAACTATTCTCAAATTGTAGAAGCAAAGGGGCAGGAGATTAACAAGTGGTAGCATGATTCACCATTGRCTTTAAAGAAATTAGTTCACGAGGAAACATTAGCTAGGTCCTTATCCAGTCTCCTTCAGTGGTAAATCTGCAAGAAACTGCTTAATAAAAATGGAGTTTGATCAGCAGTTGACATGGAGGAGGTTTTTGAAGGCTGAAGCGAAGAATCTGATTTTTGAAAAGACTACACTGAAAGGAAAGATCACGCTGAAGATAAGAGAGTTGAAGAAGGCCGTGATTATACTGGTAGGGACTGATGTGGTTGAATGACTCCAATGTTTTGTGGAGGGAGCTCTTCTTACCATCAGAGAGGTAGACTGGAAAAGGTCGAAGGAAGGAGACAAGAGGAAGTATTTAGCAGAGAGAAGAGTAATAACAAAGTTAGGTTCTTGGTTGTGGTGGAGTTCTTTGGAGAAAAGGAAAGACAGTTGATTTGCATTCGTGAAGGAAGAAAGGGATTAATCTGGGTGGAGAGATTAACAGTCTGCTGCAGGAGTTCTTGATCTTGAAAAAGGAAGAGAGAGTATTGGAACAATCCATAGTAGAAATGGAGGTTACTGTTTCTGAGAAAGAACAGGAAGCAAAATGTATGCTGGTGAATGCATTGGGTGTTGGGAAATTGGCCTATAGAGAGGATAAGGCAGATTGGGGAAAGAAACTAATAGCAGTACTGGAAAAGGAACCAGGGGATTGGGGGAAATTAGCTGTCGACTTAATTAAAAATCTAAAACTGAAGGGTCTTGTCTTGATCACTCCGTTTGAAGAGTACAAAGCCTTGCTCAACTTATTGGAAGATGAAGTTGAAATCACGTGCAAATAGCTGAAGGAAATGTTACAGTTATGAATTGGTCCCCTGTTTCAAACTCAAAGGACTTGGCAGTGGTGGATGGATTCACAGTTAGGATTGCTGGTTTACCTTTCCATCTATGGAAGAAAGAAGTGTTTGAGTCCATTGCTTCATTATGTAAGGCAAAATTTGTTGTTGTCTTCTTTCTAGATGTAGAGAACACTGATGTGGGCCCCACGGCTGTGGTCCCCACTGTGTTCATATGACAGCTCATGTAATCTTTGATTAGTTTGCCGGTGTTAGTTGGTAGTTATCTTAGACAGCTTGTTATCTCAGTTATTTATTTGTTTTATTTGCCATGTAAGCATTAAGGGCAGTTCTGTCCTTTCCTACATTTAGTGAACATAAGCTATAAATATTGAGAGAGTGGCGGCGGCAGATTCATTCGATCTGTCCCTCCTTTCAAAACCCTTGTATATTTCTGCTTCTTCTCCTTTCTTCTCCCTCTTTCTTCTACTTTTCTCTACTTTTCTCAATCCGAAATCTGTTGGAATTCAAGACTGACTGTAGTCTTGATCGACTACTTGGTAT